CCAATCTGTTGTAGGTTGGCTATGCGTTACAACTGGTATGCATGGCATTTCGCAACTCAATTTGTTCCAAATGGCTCCTGGCGGGAAAATGCACAAATTCGTATGACACAATTTCTGTGTAAGCCAACGTTCGCATTGCATCGCGCGCTGTACCGGTTGTACTCCGCAGGGGCACCGGCTTCGGTTGGTGTAGGGGACTAGCGCCCCCTCGGGTCCCAGCTCCGGTAACGGGTGGACAGCGCAAGCTGTCCTCTCAGGGCGTAGCGACCCTGCCGGTACGTGAGCTCCTGCTCCTTGTCCCGCCCGCTTCCTGCGCATTACCCGCTTGCCCGCATCCAGCCCTATCACCAATCCTCATCCTCGTTTTATCGGGGTCGCCGTGCCCCCTCGCCCACGTCCCCGGGTTGATCGGATCCTGGTGGCTGAGGGGCGCGTCGTGCGGGCTAGTCACGGCGCGTCCCAACACTCCACTCTGGCCAGGATATCCGGGGGCGTGGAGGGCCCGTGGGGCCCCACACGGGTCTAGCGGCTTGTCGCTCGCGTAGCGGTTGGGTGCTTCTTGCAGGTTTCCACTTGGGCGCCTGGCCGCGCGCAGCGGCTTAAGGAGTCAAGGGGCGGCAACGCTGAACCACGGTCAGGACGAGGAGGGGTCTCCCTGGTTACACCTGGCCGTGTGGGAGGCGTCGTTCGCCCCGTATAGCATCCGGGTATCCCTGGCGGCACCATTACCCCCTGGGGGAGTGGGCCGTCCTCCAGTTGGGCTCCGAGGTGGGTGGGGAGCCTCGGTGCCGAAACGCTAAAACCTAACATGCGTGGCAACTTTAATCTAAAAAAAAACACCCGCACCCCGAAAGGCGGGGCGGACTGAGACTACAGGTGGTAGTACGTCAGCGCCTACCCCTCGAATCTTGATTTTCCGAAGCGTCGAGAAGCCGCTGTCGTCCCTTCCGCCCTTTCAAAGGCGAAATGGGTGTGATCGGTTTGGAAAGGTGCTCCGATGCGATACGCTCAAGGACGGTTGGATCGAGGTTAAGTTCCAGAACGGAGAGGAGGCGAAACGGGCTAGGACCTCGGTTTGTGTACTGTGTGCGGGATGCAGAGGGGAAAAAGGACATGTCAGTGGCGATGACTGTGGAGGTCCATAGGACAAAGAACTAGTCAACGGGTATCATCAACTGTTTTGACCTGAGAGATGTCAGTGATGAGGAAATAGTCGATGGTCTCGCTGAGTTCGGGGTAACAGGTGCTGGCCGCATCAAGGCGCGCAGAGGTGCGGAGCTGGTCCCCACGAACAACATCGTGCTGACTTTTTATCGTCCTGACATACCATCTGAAGTAAAGGTATGCTATGTGAAGGTGAAGGTGCGCCTTTTTATTCCGAACCCCAATGAGATGTTTTAAGTGCCAATGGTTTGGACATACAAAGGATTTCTGCCGCAACCAGCCAGCATGTGGTAAGAATGCTTCTCCGGAGCACCCGAGTGATCAGTGCACTGCAGCGAACCCATGGTGTGTGAACTGTGGGAAAAACCAGAAACCTCACTCCACTTTCGATCGTGCGTGCCTGGCGTTCGCCAGGGAGAAGGAGATCGCACTGAAAACCACAAGAACGTCTCATTTCGGGAGGCAAGGGATTTATATGGACTGAGCCACCCTAAGATATTATTGCCACAGCGGCCAAGGCTCCCGTCCCACCTGAGGTCTCCTTAGACCAGATGACTGGAACGCAATTCAGTAAACTGCTCACATCGTTCGGGCTGTCGGTTGTACTGGCGCCTCATGTGCACGCCACAGCATCGGCAATGTTGTCGTCCCCCGTCTCGTTGGCACCCTGTGCCCCCTCTGAGGCACAGGCCAGCTCGCCAGTTGTTACCTCGCCGCCTCACCCCACACCGGCGGAAAGCAGCGAGTGGACCGTAGTCCACCGGGACCGAACCTCCCGGTCTTCGCCGGTAAGCACGCGATCACCGGCTTCACAGCCGTCCTCCCCAGGAGCACCGCGTCTTACAACACTGAGTGAGACGGTGTGACGAAAACTGGATAACCTTGAGCGCCGTGAGGGCAGAGAGACGGGTGCGCGAGGCACAGCGTGCACGCCTTCAGGAGCAGGAGAGGGCGGTGGCAGGCCAGTCGGGTGTCGGGTGCGGGCCCCGGCCTGCTCCCACGGGGGAGGAAGCCCCCCCCCCCACCCCCACCACCCCCACCCCCACCCCCGAAAACGTGTGGAAGCTCCCTCAGGTCCCTCCGACTCGCAGATAGACCCGTTTATGGGTCCTCCGCCACCACCGCCACCTAGAACCACGGCGCCGTCGGCGCCGGCCCAGCTTAGGACGGGGCGCCCAGAAAAGCGTGGTCCACCGGGGCCGATTTCGCCAACAGATGGCGGTAGTCCCCGGATCCAGCACAGGATCCGCCCGATCTCTTCGGGTTCTGAAGACAGGACCAACAACCGTGGGCCAGGCTCTAGCGCTGCTGAGCTCTTTTAAAACCTAACAGTGCTTTTTAAAGCCTCCTCATTCAGTCAGTTTTACAGTGCAACTGTAGAGGTGTAAG